TAAAACAGTTCGAACCGGAATTAGTTACGCGCGTTTGCAAGCATCATGTGGGGTTGTCTCCCCATGATCTTTTTGGTTAGTCCTCGGTGAGTTGTGCCGCGGCGGGATGACTATGTGCAGGGATGGGGGAGGTTGGGCGGGGGAGGTGGAGTGGGGCGGGAGAGGTGGAGTGGGCCGGTGGCGGTGGCGTGATCGCCGGCCGGTGACTGGTCGGGTCGGCCACGGAGAGTCGGCACTTGGCGCAAGCTAGCAAAGCCAGGCAGCCGACCCGAGAGCGATGGACGGGGATGCGGGAGGAAGCTTGTGCACTCGAGGCGCAGGCTGTGAGTATGCGTTACAGAAGGCGGTGGAGTGTGCCACGTGTGGGCTGGAAGGCGAGCTGGCGCTGTGTATGGCGTGTGCCGCTGCCTGCCATGCCGGCCACGACGTCGGGAGCCCGCAGCGCAGGCGCATTCTGTGCGCCTGTCTTGAGGCCGAGGTCTGCCTCCTGGCCACCGGTGCTGCCGCCGGGAGCGCTGCTGCTGCTGCACGGCCCCCGTCGCCGCCGCCGGCCAATCTCGGCGGCATTCGCCGCGATGATGCTCAGCTGGTGGCGCAGCTGGCGGCCGAGGGCGAGGTCTCTATCGGCGAGGGCATGGCTGCCCTCGTCGCCATGCGCAAGGCCGGCGCGCCGGTGACGGTCGACACGCTGCGGGCACGGGCGCAGGCGAGCAGGCAGCAGGCAGCCAGCGGGAGCGGCGCCAGCGGCGGCAGTGGCGACGAGGACTCGGCGCTGTGCGTCATCTGCCTCGATGCGGAGCGGGCCTTTGCCTGCGTGCCGTGCGGCCACCAGGCGCTGTGCGGCGCGTGCGCGACGGCGGAGCTCGGGACGTGTCCGGTCTGCCGGACGCCGATAGAGCGAATGATGCGGATCTTTACGTGAGGAATGGCAAGCGAGCGTGAGCTGAGCGTGAGCCGAGCATGGCAAGCGGGAGCACCTATCCCAGCCGCCACTTGTGCAGACCGTAGAGACCCAGGAGGCCAAGGGCCATCGCCACGAGCGTAAGCGTGATGACCGCCCACAGTTCGAGGAACTGGATCGGCGGCTTGTCCACCCAAAGCGTAAACTCGGCTGTGAGCGAGCAGAACGAGGGGTCAAGGGCGCGGACCTCAAAATGGAACAGCTCGTCGCCGCCCCACACTAGCGCGTCGAGTGCACCTGCGGTCATCTGGTATACCGAGCGGTCGTCACACGCCGATGAGTTCGTGCACCAGTCGCTCCGGTTGTTGAGCTCGCGGATCTCGTACCGCCCAAGATAGCTCACCTCGGCGAGGCCCTCTTGAACGAGGCCAAACGCCGGGATAAACCGGTTTGCAAAAAGCACCGTCGGCGCGACCGCGAGGCAGTCGGTGGCGTCGGCAGCTGGCGCAAACAGCTCCCGGCGACTGCACCGGCACCCAGACCGCGAACTCGCGCCGGCACATCGCTGATACCGCCCGCTGCGCTTCGAGACGCCAAACTCGTTCCGATGCCGTGGTGCGCTCGGGTCGCCGTGGTAAATGTAGGCCGAAATCGGGATGCCCTTGCCAAGCCGCGACGGCGGCCGATAGTTGACCGGCAAAGTGTGCACATCAACGGTGCCGGCCATCATGGCCTCTGCAGACTCGCTCAGCCGCATTTCCAACCGCTTTGAGATCGAGCATCCAGTAACAATCCACGTTCCGCCGCTGGTCGTCCCACACGCCAGCTGCGGCCCGCCGCCAGCCCGCAGGAGAACGAGGCCCTCGACGCCTGTCGACAGCGGTGCAGCTGCAAAGGCTCCGGCTTGACGCGCCGTCACACTCAGGCTCGCTGTCCACAACCCACCGGCCACCGACCAGCAGCCGCGGCTGACGGCGCTTGTCGTCGTGTTGATGTCCATCGAGTCGGCCCGGTCCAGTACCACAGCCTTGGCCCGCGGTGTGTGCAACTCGACATCCTGCCCGCCCAGCACCACCGCACGCCGGCCAGTCGTCGCTGTACACTCGGCTGCAGCGCGGGTAGGAAACCGCGGCGCAGCTGCAGCGAGAACACCAGCCTCAATGTCAACAGCCGTCCAGTCCGTTCCTGCCGCCAGTGGCGTCCCAGTCTGAACACGCCCGCATCCGCCTCTGCCTGCCACCGCCACGCGGTCAGCCGCCAGCAGGACCCCGACCGCGTTGGCGAAGAGCATCCCGCGCCGCGACGCTGCGAGTGTTGGCAGCGACGGCGCAACCGAAAGAACACTGCCGACCTCGTTCTCAGCGAGGCAAGCAAGCGTCACTGCCGCGCTCGTCTCGCCAGCCACGTCAGGCGCTTTCCGCCAGGCTGGAGTCTTGACGTGACGGACAACACTGGCCGAGACTGTTTGGTTGGCCAGCGCCAGACTGACAGCTGTCGGGCTGGTACCCACCAGCCTACCGGTGGCCCGATTCGACGAGACTAACCGCTCGATGCGGAACACCCGTGCTCCGCCATCGAGCCAGAGGCTCTCGCCAGGCGCAAGCGCCGGAGTTGCACTCGCGCATCCACTCAGCTCGACCGTCGCGTCGACAGAGTACAGATTGCGTCCGGCCCAGACACCCGAGAGCCCGTCGAGTGGCGTGGAGCTAATAGAGCTAGATGCGGATAATGAGAGACTGAGCAAAGAGCATGCCAGGCCGTCACCCATGCTCACACCGCCCGGCGGTGTGAGCCAGCGCGCAGGTGCCACAAGCAGGCCAAGCGCCTCGTGGACAGAGCCAACCTCGATGCTGTAGCGCCCAGTGCCAAGGGCATCGACCTCAGCACCAGCCAGTCCGGCCACGAGGCCTGGCAGCGCAGGTTGCGGCAAGCCGACGGGGCCGACAAGTGCCAGCGCGTCGGCCGAGCCAGGCAGCGTTAGAACAACAAGCCCTGCATCACGAGCCAGTGGCAGGCCCGCGGTCGAGACGTTGGCAACAAGAGACGCCGGCGGCAGCTCGCCACTAAGACTACTCACGTTGGTAGCAGTGAGCGCAAGCAGCGGCACGTAGGCGGCCGAGAGCGAGCCTGACGCGCTGGCCATCAGGTAGCGTAGCGAGCCGGGGCCGTTAAAGTGCACCGCAAGAGCAGACGGCGGCAGCGTACCTGCTGACGCAAGAGTCTCTGACAGCATCGATCCATAGTAGAGTGAAACCACCGCGCGAGGTGAGGAGCACGAAGCCGAGACAAGCGCCACATACTCGGGCGTCCGCACATCCGATACAATTACGGCAGCCACGCAGCTGTCGGGCAAGCTCGTTTCAAACATGACCCGCCACGAGCGCCCGAGGTCGCGCGAGACAAGCAGCGAGCTCGCGCCGTAGGCCAGCAGCGCTCCGCCCGACGGAAAGTAGTCAAGCTTGGACGCAGCCCGTGGCAGCGTGCCGATGCTGCACAACGAGCTGTTGGTTCCCGAGGTAGTGCTGCAGAGCCGAAGCATGCGCGGGGCAACGAGTACAGCCACCGCCCGATGACCCGGCGAGACTGCAACGTCACTGACCGGTCCGGCAAGAACCGAGGGATGAAGCGCATTGACCCGAACGTCGTGTGATAGCTCAACTAGCGCCGAAGGCGAAGCCACAATGCCATGGTACGGGAACGGAGGCGCGGATGCAGCAGGGGCCAGGAGTCGGGTCGGCAAGCACTCGGAGGGAGTCGAGAGTAGCGAGGAACCCGCGGCGCCGAGATCGACAAAAACAGAGGCGTTAAACGACAGGCTACCGAGCCGGTCGCGGGAGATATGAACGCTTCCGCCGCTTGCGAGCACCACAAACCCGTCGACCAGCCGAACGGTGACGTCGGCGGCAGCAAGGAATGTGCCCGGCACGCCAATACTCGCGGCAGCCAGCCACGAGGTGCCAAAGTCAAATGAGACAAATAGTGAAGAGCTGGAGACAAGAGCCAACATCGAGGTGTGGCACGGATCGACCGCAACTCGGCTCGCCAGAAGCGGCAGCGGAGGCAGCGGCAGCGGCGACGCGGTCGGGACCGTCGCGTTTGGCGGCGAGGCAACAAGGACCGAGATGGCAGCCGGGAGGACTGGACAGCTGCCAAGACGAATGTCGACGTCGAGGCCAACTGTGAGCTGGACACTTGCTGGGCCGGGACCAGTCGCAACAGCTATGGTCCACAGCCGGCTCGCACTCGAGTACACCGGATCGGCGGCGAGAGCGAGAGCCGACGCGTTCGAGACCCGCAACACCGGCTGGGCGCCCGCAGACGCAAGCGTGTTTGTGAGACTCGCGGTCGAGAGTGGCGATGCGTGCAGCGCACGGGCGCGGAGAACAAGCGTGACGTTGGCCGAGGCGGGCAGCACAAGCGAGGCCGGGTCGAGACGGGTCTCGTCCGGATTAACGACGAGATAGTGTGCGCAGAGCAGTGACGGCTCGGCCGGTGCAAGCGCATGAAAGGTGGCTGGCAGGAGGTCGGAGCCGGAGCGCGGATGGGCACCCCAGGTGGGGTCCGGCGGAGCGGCGGACGGAACGCTAGCAGCGGCGATGACCAGCGGCCCCTGGGCTGGTGAGGCGATGGTAATGGCCGAGGCATTTGCCGGCACAAGCGCCGTTGCAGCCAGAGCAGCGCGGTTGGCCGCCACCGCCGCAGCCGTCAAGCAGGTCGAGCATTGAGCCATCGCTGGATGCAGTGCAATGCTGGCAAAGGGGAGGCGGGTGGCCGAGCGGGCGGCGACGGGTGCGGCGGTGGCCGGGACGGAGAGACCGACAGGGGCCACGGACGAGACCAGGAGAGAGGCCACGAGGGCCAGGGCCAACATGAAGGCGGGTGGTGGCATAGGTTGAGGGGAGGGAAGGGGAGGGGGAGGGGAGGGGAGAGTGGTGGGGTGGGAGAGCGCGAGACAGACGCGCCGCGGCCTGGCCCTGCTGCGGCCTCAACCACGGCGGCCACAGCCACAGCCACAGCCACAGCCACAGTCACAGCCACAGCCCTGGGCACTGCTCTTGCAAGGTCTGAGACGGCAGACGGCAGCAGGCAGCAGGCAGGCCAACGAGATCGAGGAGCGGCAGCAGAATAGAGCGTCAAGGCCAGGAGGGCCGAGCGCAGGTATGGGGGGGTTCCCGTGCGAGACCGAGGGCTGCGTGGCGCACCTTGTGCGGCGCGAGAATGGCGAGGGCAAAGGCAGCGACAACGATCAGGCCGTGCAGCTGGTGCACGTGACCAAGGCTGAGACGGTGCTGGGGCGGCTCAAGTCGGCAGACGTGGTGGTGCGGACGGCGGAGCGGAACCTGATGTCGCGGCGGCACGCGCGGCTTGTGGCCGAGCGCGGAGCGAGCGGGGAGGATCCGCTTGTGGTGTGGCGGATCGAGGACACCAACTCGATGAATGGCATTGCAGTGAACGGGGTGCGAACTCCAGGCGAGCGGCTGTCGTCGGGCGATTGGATTGCCTTTGGCCGCTACCTCGATGTCGAGGCCGGTGTCAAACTCAAGGAGGCCTGCCATCTCATCACCTTTACTTTCTACCATCGCCCGCTCGAGCTTCCGGGTGACGGCTGGCTGCTAGAGCGACTCGGCCTCTCGACCTCTCCGCCGCCGCTGCTCTTGGACGAGGGTGCGGTGGCGTCCCAGGACTCGGGCGTGCTGTTTGTTCCAGAGGACGGCGGTGGTAGCGGGCAGCGCGGCGGGCGTCATCAGCCACCGCCAGTTTCACGGGCATCTTCCGAGCTTCAGACGCCACGTCGGCTCGGGTATGGCGGTCACGGGGCACTATCAGGCATTCATCCGTCTCCGCTGCTCATTCTCTCGTCGACAAAGCCGTCGAGAAAGCGACGAGCTGACAACGACAGTGATGGCGACAACGACGATGACGACGACGATGATCTGGTACCACTCAACTTGATGAAGGCCTCGCAAGTGTTCCGGACCGGCCGGTCTCATTCGTCAGAACGGCCTCCAAAACTGCAGCGGGCCCTGGGCGCGACGCGGGGAGCGGTGGTGCCAGCTGCAGTGCTGCCGGTGCGGGAGGAGTCTGCGTCACCGGTGCTGCTCGGCGACGACCGGCCGAGCTTGGACGGGCTGGTGATGTCTGGGTGGAAACTATCGGCGACGCCGGGCGACACGCACTCTGCCACGCCTGCCACGGCACTGACGGCCAGTATGGCGTCGTCTGGCGGCCGGGCGGCGTCACCGTCGCTGCGGCGGCTTGTGGATCGAGAAGAGGCAGCGCTGGAGGTCTCAAGCGCAAGTGAGAAGACCGAGATGCGAAGCAAGGCGCGAACCAACATGCGGAAGCAGGCACTCGCGTTTCTCAAAGGTCTGTGACCGAGCGAACACTTCTTTTCTTCGGTACGGTCGTTCGGACGCGTTGTCGCGTTGTCGCGCAAAGTGAACAACTCGATGATGCTTGACTTCCTGGTCACCGGCCGACGCTGTGCGACGCTTGCTTGGCCTGCGGCTTGAGGTGGGAGGCGCGCCCGATGCGTGGCTCGCACGTGGGGCCTGCCGCCCGATGCTCGTCCCGGCGACGCCTTCGTGTGCAACGTGGGCGACGACCTCGCTGTTGTCCCGTGAAAGGACTCGATCGAGTGCCGTTTCCTGGCAACCTGCTCTCGTCCTGCAGTGTTTTCTGTTGTGACAGCCATTAACACATTGTACTACTCTTTTACCGCGATTGATGGACGCTGCAACGTCTGTGGAGCGTCGCGGAGCGCGGCTTGCGCGACGGACCAATTTGTCCATTCCGTACCGTAAAGGGCTAAAACCGAGTGTCGGCAAAGAGGACAGCGTCGACGGCAGCGAGGTCATCGGGCGAGCCGCCAAAGGTGTCGAAAACGAGAGCGTCGAGCGCTTCGTCGATGCGCGGAGTGCGGACGAGCTTGGGGTGAGCGAGTTTGGCAGCGACGTCCTCGAGCTGGTCGGGGCTCTCGGCGGTGGCGAGCGCGTGAAGGACAAGGCGCTCATTAGCGTAGCGGCCGTGGGCACGGACCGAGTCGAGGATGGAGAGGCAGAGGTCAAAGTCGCGGGTGGCGTGCGCAAGCTCGAGACCGAGCGCATACATCTCCAGCCTCAGTGGCGAGGAGGATGCGCGGGCCAGGAGCCGGGTGTAGTACTTGAGGGCATGCTCGGCCGAGCCGGCCTCGAGGGCGGCGCGGCAGGCGAGCGCGTAGGTCTTGTGGGTGGCGAGCTTGCGGAGGTGAGCGTCGTCGGCAAGGAGCGCGTCGAGTTGGTCCCAGTAGTTGTCGGCGGCGTAAGCGGCGACGATGGGTGCGTACAACTCCTCGGTCCGGGCGCAGAGATCCGGCACGGCTTCGTCGAGCAGGGCGAGCGCGCGGGTCGGGGCCTGCGCGTCAGCGTAGGCGGCCACAACATGGCGGACGGCGCCTGCGTGGGACGACGCACCGAGCTTGTCGAGCACGGTGTGGGCCCAAATGGGCGAGACACGAGCCGCGGTCTTGACAAGTGCAGCTGTGGAGGCAGGCTTGAGTGAGACCGCCGAGCGGCCAAGGAGTGTGAGCGCGGCGTCGAGGCCAGGCTCGTGCGTGTTCCTAATGAACATCCCCAGGAGCGCCCGAAGCGCAGGATCATACTCGCTGGCAAGCTGATGCGGTGAGAGCAAGCGGGAGACAGCACGTGCAAGGTCGACGGCACGGTCGACGAGCCCGCGCGAGTCGAGAACGTCAACGACAAAGCGGAGCGCCGACGGCGATGGACGGCTCGCCACCGACGCGTCACCCAATGCAGCCTGCAGCTTGTCGGCGCGAACGTAGTCGGATGACCGCAGCGCGGCAGCGTAGTCAAAGACCACCAGATCGGCAGGCGAGGTCCGGGCGCGGCTCGAAGCGAGGAGAGGAGAGGCCCGCAGGGCGCGGAAGAGGTCGTCGGGCGCCGACGCGAGCGCAACGGCCTTGAGCAGCGGCTCAATTTGGACTGGATCCGGAAGTGATGCGGCCGGAAGCGACGGTGGAAGCGCCGTGAGTAGCTCCGGATCACCCGCAAGGAGCGCCACCAGCGCCGACGGCGGGAGGACGACCCCGTAGGAGGAGAGAGCGTTGACAACAAGCGCGGCGACCCGAGCGTGGGCGTCGGCGGGCGCGTATGGTGAGACGGTGGCGGCAAGAGTGCCAAGGACCTGGGCGTCCACGATTCGCGCGTCAGAGGCCATCGCCTCGGCGACGGCGACCGCCGCGGCGGGCGCGCCGGCCGAGGCCAGGCCCTCGGCCGCAGCGCGGTACGTGGCCAGGCTTCGGTGCCGGGCCGGGAGCGCGTCCCAGGCGGCTTCGGCGGCCTCAGGGTGGCCAGCAGCAGCTAGAGCCCGTAGCCGCAGTGCATGGACCGCAGTCGGTGGGTCTGGGCCGGCTTCATGGGCAAAGGCGGCGACGGCAGCGTCGGGCGCCCCGCCGGCGAGAAGCGCAGCCATCCGTGCTGCCAGCAGCCGCTGGCTGCGGGCCCGACCGAGCGTCGACAGCGCTGCCACCAGCGACCGCGGGCGTACCCGAGCGGTGGCCGAGAGGCGCAGCATCTCCCGCGCTGTTGGAGTGTTTGGCGAGAGAAGGGCTTGCCCGTCTACGAGGGCGGGGAGCGGGTGTCGAAGAGGCGGCCTACTTTGAGCGGAGGCTGAGCGAGCGAGAGTCAGGGAGAGCAGCTGATCGGGGAGGAAAAGAGTTCAAGGCGGAATCAGAGGTAGATAAGGACGATATGGGAGTGTATAGTGTCCCCAGCTGCGACGCGAGAGAGAAAGCAATGGCCCGGCGTGCCGATGCCGTGGGCAAGATGAGGACAATGGGAAGACGTGATCTGTGGATCAGTCGGTGAGTGTGGGCCACAGCGACCGCTAGAGCATTTTCTCGGTGTGGAGACAAGCTACGGGCTCCTAGACAGAGTATAAGGGTTCTTTGTACTTGGCAAGCCGTACAAGGAGGCAAAGATTACCTGGGGGCGACGTTAATGATGAGCATGGGGACGATATGGGATGGAGGCTGCCTGCAACTCTAGACAGCATTTGTGACTATAAACTTTTACAAATCCAGTAAATCAAATATATATTATTGAAAATATAGATGAAAATGGACAAATACTAAAAATATTTTTTGAAAACCAAATATAAAATATTTATAGGTTCAGAAAAATATGAATGTATAGCTGTGAAGTCGAGTATTTCTACAGCCTTGTCACGGCAAAACACTTTTCACGGCATTTGTTCTATGTTTTACCCTCGTACTCGTCTCTGGAGCAGCCCACACACACAACGTCGTGAGCCCTAACTCTTCCCGACTGCGCAGGTGTAGCTAGCTCACCACAGATCATGCAAAGAGATCGTGATGCAGATGTTCGAGAAAGTTCGTCATGTCTTCGCGCTTGACGTCGACAAAAGACGACTCGAAGCAGTCAAACTTGGCCGAGACCTGCGTGGCGTCGGCGGCGGCGACAAAGGCCTGGCCAAAGGTGTTCTTGGCGACAGAGCCAAAGCGGGCGGCACCCGAGACGCCGACGACGAGGTACGAGTCAGCATCCTTGTTGAGCGCGGCCATGACAAACGGCTTGGGCGCCTTGCCGGCCTCGCGCAGCGTGTCGACGAGAAAGTTGGCGAGCTTGGTGAGGGCGAGTGGGTGGACAAAGTACGGCAGGTCGGGCGAGTCTGTGATAAAGGCATAGCGGAAGGGGCCCGAGGGGACGATGGCGCGCGACTCGATGAGCGAAGTGCCCTGACGGACAATGGCGCGCTGGACGTCGATGGCGTGGTCGAGGCCGAGCTTGAGCTTGGCCTCGTTGCGGAGGTGCAGGGCGTCGTAGGCGGCCCAAAAGTTGGCCTGCATCTCGCTTGACGAGCGCGAGGCGGCGCGGAGGACCTCGGGCGCGGCGGCGGCGACACCGGCGATGACCGACTCGGCGCCTGGACTTGACTTGGCCGGCACTTCGAGGAGGGCTGTGGTGGCGTAGACGAGATCCGATGCCGTCAGCGGGAGCGAGTAGATGTGCTTGAGCTGGAACGACTCGTAGGCAACGTTGGGCAGGCCAAACTCTGCGGCGGCATCGTGGATGCGCGTTTCGAGGACGTGCTTGGCGTCGCGCGACATGAGCGCGTACTTTTGCTTGGCCTCGGAGAGGCGGAGGCCCATCTTGGCGAGCATGGTGCGAAGGCGGGCCTTGCCGGGCTCCTGCCAGATGCCGAGGCGGGCGGCGATGTACGGCGAGTGGAACATCGAGTCGTAGAGCGTCCAGTGGCGGAAGAGCATGAATCGGTACTCGTCGATGCCCGAGATGTGGTAGTGGGTGGCCTCGGGGCCCTCGCGGAACGACCGCGACGGCTCGGCCTCGGGATTGCTCCGCTGGACGTCAACGACAAACGTGGCGAGGTCGACCTCGTACTTGTCGCTGTCGATCCGCTCGTGGATGTACTGGTCGGTGAGGCCAACAATGGCGAGCCAGAGGAGGTAGTTCTCCTCGCGGTTGAGCTCCTTGGCCATGATGTACATGAGTGTGGCTGCTGACGTACCAAAGTACGAGCCGGCGTAGTACTTTTCGATGATTGACCGCGCCTCGAGCGCCTGCTGGCGAGCTTCGGCGAGCTCGATGACCGAGAGCGTCCGCCCGGCGACCTTGGCCCGCTTGCGCGCGGCGTGCTCGGTCGGCGATGCCCGCCGCCGCACGCCGCCTACCGCCGCCCCGTCGTCGTCGTATCCGTCGTCGTCGAGCTCCTCAGGCGAGCGCGACGCCGCCTGCTCCTCGTCCGGCGCCAGGCCGTCGTTGAGCATGCACTCGTAAAGCTCGAGCGACGGGACCGTGTCGCCTTCGGCCGTCCCGTCGTCGAGAACAAACACCCCGTCACCCGAGTACACGTTATTGAGGTGGTACGGCCGGTGTGCGTCGACAACAATGGTCACCGAGCCCTCGGGCAGCTGAAAGTACTCGAACACGTCGATGATGGCTCCGCAGTTGATGAGCACCACCGCCAGCGGGTCGCCCTTGCCCGCGAGCTGCGCCTCGGCCGCCGCGCCGAGCTGCGCGTACCCGGTCACGGGCATCACGTCGTACGCAATCGAGTCGGCCCGCAGCAGCGAAGCGAGGATGCGCGTCGCACACAGCGCGTCCGTGTCTGTCGCCGCAAAGATGTGCACCGGAAGGCCCACCGTCTGCGCGTAGTTGCGCAGCTGCGCAAAGGCCGTGTCGAACTCGTCGGGTGCCAGAATCATGGCCACGAATCTACAGCGAGAGGCAGAGGGGTGCGAAAGGCGAGGCCGTCGAGGGCTACCGGCTTGGCGCTGGCGTCGGCGTGGTGCTAGAGAGGAGGTCTTGTGAAGCCGCAAGCGTCCGGGCCGTACGTGGGTCGAAAGGGACGCGCGTGGGAGGAGTGCCGGCTGCCAAAGCGTGGTGTGAGTGCGAGCGGTGGCGGTGGCGGGGGGGAAGGGGGGGGCAGGCGGGAAAAGACGTGCCCTGCCGGCTGCTCAAGCTGCTTTTCGGGGCGCAGCCGAGCAAAGGTTCGGCAGCCGCTGTCGCGTGCCTATTGACTGCGCAACCCGTCCCCATCACCTCACGCCCCCCCTCTCCCTCTCCACACGCACACATCCAGCCATGGGAGGGTGCTGCTCCAAGACGCCGGCGCGCGACGTGGTGCTCAACGGCCGCCACCTCAAGACGCTGTCGCTGCTCGGCGAGGGCGGCTTCGCCTACGTCTACCTGGTGGAAGACACGCGGACCGGCGAGGTCTTTGCCCTCAAGAAGATCGTGGCGCACGAGGAGGAGCAGGTCGAGGCTGCGCTGCGCGAGGCCGAGCTGCACACGCTCTTCGACCATCCGAACCTGCTCAAGGTTATCGACTACGGCGTTGTCGCCGCGCCCGGGGGTGGCGGCGGCGGCGGGCCGGGCAGCTCGGGGGTCAACCTGCTGAGCGCCGGCGGCGGCGTCGGCAGCGGCGCGTCGGCGGTCCTCCTGCTCCTCCCGTACCACCGCGGTGGCTCGCTTGCCGAGCTGCTCGGCCACATGCGCGCGTCGGGCGTGCGGTTCACCGAGACCGAGGCCCTCGCTCTGTTCGTCTCGGTCTGCACCGGCGTCCGCGAGCTGCACCACCACGACCCACCGCTCGCCCACCGCGATATCAAGCCGGGCAACATCCTGCTCAACGACAACAACTGTCCGCTGCTCATGGACTTTGGCTCGATGCGGCCTGCCCGCGTCGCCATCCGCTCGCGCGCCCAGGCCCTGGCCCTTGCCGATGAGGCCGCCGAGGGATCCATGGCTTCGTTCCGCGCGCCCGAGCTCTTTGACGTGCCGTCGGATGGCTCGGTCGACGAGCGGACTGATGTCTGGGCGCTCGGCTGCCTGCTCTATGCCGTCGCCTTTGGCGGTGTCTCGCCGTTTGAGGCTGCCGCCGGCCAGTCGGGCGGCTCCATCGCTCTCTCGGTCATGTCCGGTCGCATCTCCATCCCTGACTCGCACCCGTACTCGGCCCGTTTTGTCGACCTCATCCACTACATGCTCAACACCAACCCGACCGAGCGCCCGGCCATTGATGATGTCATCGACCGCGCCCGCGCCATCCTTCGTGACCAGCTCGACCCCAACTACGATCCCACTGCTGATGCCGACGAGAGCGATGCGCCCTTTGATGCTGCCATGACCGCGCTGAGTGGCGCAGGCTCGCTTGACGACGGTGGCGGCGACGATGATGACTTTGGCGAGTTTGGCCTTGAGTTTGGTGGGTGACGACAGTAGATAAAGCTTAAAACGCATGGCCTCACCCGCCCCCCCCCCCCTCCCATTCCCTTGTAGCATCCTGCAGTGGTCGCAGCCAACAGGGGCCCTCCGGCCGGCCGCCTCCACTTCCTCCAACATTCTCTCTCAGCCTCCGCCCTCGGCACACTTATCTTGAAGCAGGTACGCACAGCCACAGAGGCTGGCCATCTCCCCTCCCCTCCCCTTCCCCTGCCTTCCCCCCCCCTCCCCTTGCCCCCTACCCTCCGCCGTTGGTGCCGGTGGCCTGCTGGGCAAGCAGCCCGTGGGATGGACGCCGATGGAGCCACGTTCCTCGGGAGCCCCCTCCCCCCCCCCCTCCCCTCCCCCCTCCCCCCCCTCCCCCGCCCCCCCCCCTCTCTGCCCCGCAAAGCACCCCCCTCCGCCCACCCAACCCCAACTTACCCTCCCCTCCTCCCTCCCCTCGTGCAGCAAACAAGCATGCCGAAGAAGGGAAAGGGCGGCAAGTCGCATCGCAAGGGCAAGAACAACCGCGACAATGAGGCGCGCGACATCACGTTCAAGGAGCCCGGGCAGGAGTACGGGCAGGTGACCAAGGTGCTCGGCAACTGCCGCGTCGAGGTCTACTGCTTCGACGGCGTCAAGCGCCAGTGCCACATCCGCGGCAAGATGCGCAAGAAGGTCTGGATCTCGGTCTCGGACTTTGTCCTCATCGGCCTCCGCGACTTCCAGGACACCAAGGGTGACGTCATCCTCAAGTACTACACCCACGAGGCCCGTCGCCTGCAGACGCTTGGCGAGATCCCGGCCACCGCCCGCATCAACACTGCCGGCGGCCTCGAGGAGGAGGACGCCGACGAGGAGATCACCTTCGGCCTCACCACCGCCGTCGCCGCCGATGCCACCGAGCGCAACGACGGCGTCGACGCCTGGGATGCCATTATCAACCAGTACGAGGAGGATCTCGAGGAGGCCGAGACCTTTGGCGGTGGCGACGACGAGATCGACGACATCTAATCGCTTCATCGGCGCGCGAGCATGTTGCAAGTGCGCGGCGTCGGCGAAGTTATCATAAATCCTCCCGCCATGTCGCCTTGTGCTGCCCTCACCGGGCGTTCGGCCGACTCGTCCGCCTCGGCTTCCACCTCACTCCTCCCCCCCCTCCCCCCCCCCCTGATGGAGGGCATCCGCGGGCAGACGGACCAGTCTGTGCTCATTTCAGGTGAGTCTGGTGCCGGCAAGACCGAGGCGACCAAGCAGGTGCTGTCGTACCTGGGCCGAGACGGCCGGCTCTGTGTCTGGTGTGAAGCAGATGATTCTGATGGCGAAACCCGATTCTGG